AAAACCAGAAAAGGCTTATGAACTTTCAAACAGCTTCTGTATGCAAAAAGGCAGAGAGAGAAAAGCATGTGATCGCCTTTCAAAGCATTGAGAAAATGCTGAAGATATTAAAAAAAAAATTAAAAATAAGATGAAACATTGCAATATCAGATTAGCTGACAACAGTCTGAAAGCCAATTACCTAGTTAATCAGCTAGATTTTATATTGCACCTGCAGTGATGGCAGTATACTGTTATTTACCACAACACAGCACTTTGTGTCATTGCTGTTGCAGAGTCATTTGCACCTTTATAAGTGTAGATTATTTATCTCAAGCATGGTTTACAAATGAAAGGAGGCCTATGCAATCGGTTGGTTTGCTTGTCCATTCCTACATCTGTCAGCCCTTTCCCTCCTAAAAACGTGTGGATTTATTGGCCAATTTCATCCAAAGTCTATTGGACTGGGCTGCAGAACTGGTGTTCTTGTTATTTTACTCATATATTTACATCTAATTTTGGGGGGGTCTGCCTAGATAAGGTATGTATTGCTGTGAATGGAAGCCACGCTGTCCTGTTCTGAGGAGATTAACCCTCCCTAATATCTGATACTCAGACTTTAACATATAAAGAAGCATTTTGTCATCAGAAGTAATCTTAAAGAATTTACAAGAGAAGAAAATACAATCAGAGTATAAATTTGTCAGGTAACAACGAAGTGAGCAAGACAATACCACCAAGCTGAAGAAGACAACTGGGTAATGACAACCAGCTGACAAAAAAAGATTTGGGGATGGGAAGGGAATGGTGGTCCTCAGACCATCTCCAGACAGCTCATCTGATAAACAGGAGCATAACACGGTCCGTGTTCCCAGCAGTGGATATGGCTTTGCAGAAGACACGAATGGGACATTTTTCATGTCCTTTAGATGGCCGCCAGTGCAGGCTTGGAGTTAAGGCACCGTTGTCTGTCTCTCTTTGTCCGCCTATAGCTCTAGGGTAGGTTTGGTGGAGGCTGCCACCAGGAAAACACAGAGCAACTTACAGGTTAATTAACTGTCCTATATCCTGCAAGTGCTCATGCACTTGGCCCAGAGCACAGCTCTCCAGGAAAGCTCCTGTGGTTGCAGGCCGGGGAGTTGAAAGAAGGGAGATGTGAACGAGATGCCCAGACACTGAGTTGCAGATGCATTTTTTGCAGTAGCTGGTGTGTGCGGTTGGATGGCATACAGCTCTTCACAGCTGTCACTTTGTACTAGCTGGTTGTCTTATCCCAGCCCATTTATCATTTTATTTTCAGTGTTCATCTCAAACCTTCTCTAAATGTTATGACAGCATTTAGCCTGTGAAATTGGGAAGCAATGAGAAGACAAGAGTCATTGCTTTTCCAACAAAAGCCTGGAAAGACGTAATTTCTTTAATTATTATAACAGCTTCTGCTCTTTTCAGTTCAAATTCTCTCATTCATAAGTTCTGCTGAGAAGAGACAGCCAGCAATTACAGGTGTCCACAAGACTGGGAGTGATTAGTGGCACTGTGAATACTGTGGTATTGTTGTAATCTAGACATTACATTAAAATGAGTCTCCATGACTCCGAAACTGTGTAGCGTTTGAAGCAGCCTTTTTTTCTATCATATGGACAAATCCACTGCTAGTATAACTGAGCTCACTTCCATTAAAGGCAGGGGCGTTGTTTCCATTTCTACCAGAGCGCTGGCCACACAGCACACCTGGGCGAGAGATAGAGGCCAGTGAGGAATGACCGCAACACAGGTAAACCACACAGTGATAAAATATTTCTAACAAACTTTTTACTCACTGAGGAAGAAACATTTCCAGAGTTTCCTAGAAGCACTGCAAAGATGCACAACATGTATTTTCTTACCCATGTTTGCAGATCACTGTTGTTTTGGACAGGTTCAGTCCCACCTGCTGCATACCACCTTTTACCAGCAATTTCTGCCATGAAGGATTCTTTCTGTCCTCAGCCATATTTTGGGTGCCAGAACTATCTACGGTTGATGGATAGTGAAAAAGAAAAGAATAAATCAAACTTTTGGGTGATCAGGCCTTGGGAGTGGCTGGGGGGTGGTTTGTTATCCCTTGCTGCCTCAAAAATACCATCCGCAGAACTTGCAGGTAGCAGTGGGAACTAGCTGCTTTTCTCTTACAGTACTCCTAGCAGTACGTATGCAGGCTGCTAAATTATACATAATACGGGTCCATTCTTACAGAAGTCCCCTGCTGCAATACATGGTATCAAAGCAGAGGCTGGCAATTAACGTGCCTGAAGTATTTCTATCTTCTGATCTTTCACACCCACTTTCTAATCACCCCCGACAAAAGATTTAGCGTAAATGCTGGCTGAAGAGTGGACACACCTTGATAAGACCAGGATTAGTTTAGATTTGCTATCTTGGAAATTCACGTAGCTCAGAGGGCTCCAAAAGTTGGCGATCAGTTTTTGAGACACAGTGCTTTTAAAAAGTGTAGTTTTCCTTAAAGGCAAAAATAACCACTAGCAAACCAGTTCAAGAAGGATACAGATCCACGAGGCTTCCCTGCAATCTCAGGGGAAATCCTAAATTTGCATTTCCTTGGGGTCCTGCTGAGGGTACTGAATTCCTGTGGAATAAAGTCAATCAGCTTAAGGTTGTCTGCTTGAGAAAACTGCTTAGGAAAGAAGACAAATCCAGCTCGCTCCACAGACCTAAGGGGATGCAAGACCCTTGTGAAACACACTGCTTTTCACTTCCCTTCGTCCTTCCTCATTTCACTGTCTCTTCTGTGCTTCCCTCCCGCCGTTCCGTTCAGGGAATACTGTTTCATCCCTTCTTCGCTAAGGCACTGTTATCATCTTACTTACGCCTCTCATGGAAATACTCTTGGGCCAGGACATTTGCAAGGAGTGAGTTCATGCTCACATTCATACTGGGAAAGAAACTACTGCCTTCTGAACCACTGGGAGTATGTGCTTTTACTGGCTTTTCTGCTGCCCCCTCAACTCTGCTTGTCCTATTTATTTGTCCTGATTAGGCTGCCAAGGCTTGCTGAAAGGAGGCTTGACATTTACTTGTCTTGGACATTCCTTATGTAGTTCGAGGTGTTACAAAATCAGCAGCAAGGACAGCTTCCAGAGCCACTGAGTCTGCATTCACCTTATTTATTTATTCTTAATGAGTCCATGTTATAGCTGAACAGAAGAAAAAAGTCTTCTCACATCAGATTACTGAAGAAAAGTGTTTTAAAAAAGTTTTAAACTTTTTAATTAACTATTCAATTGTTCCACTCTAAAAGTGACTCAGACTTACTGAAGACAGGTATCTTCAATACCCAGAGAAAGCAGAGATTTCAGTTTTACTGCATAAACTTCTTAGGATAACTAGTTGGGTTTTTTCCCCAACATGGTATGCAACTAGTTAATGAAACTGGAGAGCAGCAAGTTGAAAACACAAGCAAACAAACATTAAGGGAAAAATAAACCAAATTCAATAATCTCTCTTGTGTATAATAAAAGATCACAAAGTTCAGCTGTGCATACCTTGCATTCGTATTTACAGGATGATGAAAACAAGGAACAAATAAAGAATAATCATCCTAATGTGCCAAGGCAAAACCTGCATGCTTACTGAAAGGATTATGGAGGGAAACTTCCTTTATGAGCTAATTCTTACTGAATCGTCTCCTACAGAGCTTCCTGTGCTTTTTGCAGAACCTGCGATGGGGACAGTGAGGGGACATGAAGAGAGAACACTGTTATCTCTCTTATGAAGAGATGACACTGTTAGGAAGAGATATAGAATATTTCAGTTGGAAGGGACCTACAACAATCATCTAGTCCAACCGCCTGACCACTGATAAGGTCTGATATGACCACTGACTGCCTGATATGTCACTCCAAAATGGAAGCTTCAATTTGGAGTAAAACCCTCCCAAAGTTTGCATCATTTCTCGGAAAACAGGATCAGAAAAATTCAGATTATATGCTTAACACATTGCTTACCAGTGAAGGCTTTGCTCGAGCACAGCATTTCTCAGGTCTTTCAGAGCAGCTTAGTCCTAACTGAGATGTGTCACAAATGCCCCTTCTCACAGTCAACCAGTTAAAGATGGATGCTTGGTAAGCAATTATTAACGATTTATTAATAATTTATCGTTAACATTATTCTGACATTGCGTAGCTTCTTTTGTTTAGATTTTGAGATTTGAGTCTTATTTTATGTTGGTTTTTGACAAAGGAAGTAGAATCGCCCTATTTGGAGAGGACGATAACGAACTAGCTTCCCTCTTCCAGAGAACACTTAATGCTTCTTTAGATGATCTCACACAGCCTCAAACACGCACAATTTACACACTTGTCTTAGATATTCATGCGACAACTAATCCAAGCTTATCTGCGAGGGAGAGAAATAAAATACTCCGTTGTGTGTTGATGAACTATATTTTTATGACTACTGCAAAGTTCGTAATTGCCTTCGGTAAAGTCGGATTCAACACCTATCATTAAAAAACAAATTAACTTGGAGAAAACAGACTGGGGTGGTTTGAATTCAGCTTTTACTCACACGTTAGCTGGAGCATGTCGCTGCAATGGGATCTTTATTTGAACAAAGGCTCCGGGAGTTTTACGAGTAATTTCCCGAGATTCACATTTGTGAGCTACCGCCGATAACTGCAAAGTTTAACTCGGGGAGGTCATGGCAAAGTGAGAAACAGAAGGCAAACAATAGCGAGGCTCTCATCTTCACGTGCCGAGCCCCGAAAAGCCGTTGTTTGGCTTTAAAGACGACTGAATTGGCCCCAGCCCGCTGGGAACGGGGCGGTGGGAAGTAGCCTCCTGTCCCGGACTAGCTGCACCGTCCGCCCGCGCTCTCCCCGGCCCTGCCCCCGCGGGAGCACC